CTCAATCATCGCTAACGATTCCCATCTAATATCTTCTAATAATAAATACTGAAATATGAGGGTATCTTTTTCTTCATTAATTATATTTATACTTTCAAACAATTATATATCTTCAAATAAAATTTTTGTATCATATTTTAAGTTGGATACATCAAGATATATCATTTTGTAAAATTAGCTTAAAATAGATCTCTTAATTATATATCAACTTAATTCTCTTCATAATTATGCATTCACTCCAAATCAATTCATTCTCTTTCCTAAATTTCTCATCCCAAGTTTTATTCACCATTATTTCTCCTCCTTCTCCCTAATACGATCTTCTTCTGTCAAATTCACCTCTATTATTGCATTCTCAGCATGGAGAAAGAGTCCAGTACTACATTTATTCTCTTCTTTCACTAATTTGCTACATAAATTCGACTATATACGAATATATACACATATTTCTCTCTCTCTCTCTATATATATATATGCAAATATTATAACACCTTGTTTGGATGGTTGTTACTTGTTGTATTATATTGTATTGTTAGTGTAACACCGTATATGTATGTATATTTAATCAGTTTTTAAAAATTCATATGAATATATTAACTTTTGACATCACTAACACAAGTGTGACCCTTGGCCGAGTGGTGAAGAGGGTTCAATTTTCCTAACCAACCCAAGTTCAAATACCTAATGCCACATTTTAGTTTTATTTTTTATATCTTGAACCCACTTCATGAAAATCTTGGGTCCGCCACTGCACCCCGCTACTAGAAATACTTAGAATTAGAAAGAAACCATTTTTGGAAATAATCAAATTTGGAAAGTTTGACAAAGATAAGTTAAGTATGAGTTTTGGGTCAACTTCAAACGATCATAACTCCTAGATCAGGATGAGTTAGGTGTGCTACAAGATACTGTAGAAAATATCTTTGAATTATTTTTCCAACTCCACCTAGTTTGATCAATTTCGAGTTTGTATGAGGGAGATATGCTCATTTGAAGTTGGGTTGTCTAGATAAGAAAAGTCAAAACCGGATTTTAGAAGAGTATTATGGTCTTTTCACTACCCAATTAATTAAATTTATTTTTGGTAATTAAGTTGGGGTCTAAACTGATTGGATTCAGTTTACGCTTCATAAAAATAAGTTAGGGTTTTGAGAAAAGAGGAGAAAAAGCTTAGAATCATCGCCTTCTTGAAGATTTGCTTGTGGATTTCGCCAAGGGTTGATCCCTACGAGGTATGTGAGATCACATAGTGTTGGGTTAGTTCACCCACGCGTCAATCGTGATTTTATTCAGCCAAATTATGTTCTTGAAAGTATAGAAATTGAGTTCTTGATCAATTTGTTTGAAGTTTCTATTGGGTTCTTGATTGGTGAAGTTGTTGAGAAGTTCTTGATTTAAATTCATGAAAATTAGATGTCGTTTTGAGTAGATTCTTGCATATTTTGGTTATGTAGTCGAATCTAAGTGATTGGGGAAAGAACCAATTGAATCTAAAGGGTTTAGAGTTGAAAACCGAGCAAGAAAAATCAGAGATTTTCTGGGCAGGGGTCTGGGGCGCCGCGCCAACCAGAGCCCCCCACTTAGGGTTCTGAAGTTTGGGCTCTGGGGCGCCGTGCCAGCCAGTGGTCCCCAACCCAGGTTTTGAAGTTTAAGCTTTGGCACCCCGCACCACTCAGAGCGCCAGGGACGCCAGGTTCTCTACCCTTTCCCACTTCTTTCCGTACGAGTTCCCTTGAAACGTACCTATGTTTTCTAGTTGATTTCTACACTATAAGGTACGTCTAAACACATGAAATCATCCATGACATGAGATCATGACCCTTGAATCCATAATTCAATTCAAGAAAAGTTAAGAGTCAAGTCAAAAGAAGTTCATAAAGTTTTCCAAAAGTCTTTTACAAATGTTTTAACTTTGCTTCAAAACTTGAGTTTTGAGTTGAGTAAAGAGTAAAGATTGAAGTTCATTTCTTCAAAAGAGTATATTGGGACTATGTATTCCCAAAGAGTAAATGTTTTCACATTTAAACAAGAAAGGAAACTTTTGATTTCCAAAAGAGCCTTTAAGCTAGTTTTTCAGTAAAGAGTAAATGATTTCACAATTAAGCAAGAGAAGAAACTTTGATTTCCAAGATAGCCTTTGAGCTAAGTTTTGAGCAATTATCTCAAACCACAGAAAGAAGTTATGTTTTTAAACATATGAGCTAGTATCTTTTGAGAGTAGTATTGAGCATCGATATGGGGGAGAGTTCAGACAACTCCCTGCCCCCATAAACCATGTAGCCATCATGGGTTGAAAATGGTCATACTTTTTAGATGATTTCTTAGTGCTTTTTAGCTTAGACTATTGGATCCACTTAGTAGTTAGGTTCTATACCCTCGGCAAGGTATAGAGTGGCTCTGGCAGTGTGAGGCAAAACGTTGTATCATCACAATAGCTCTTAAGTGATGGTTGTCGGTTAGAGAAACTCCCACAGAAGTATTTTGTATTCTTATATACACAGAAGTAAATTGTATTTTTATATACATTTCAGAGTTCATATTGTATCTTTGCATACATACAGTGTTACTATTGTATTTCTAAATACACAGAGTTCTTATCCATGTTTTAAAAGTTTTTCTCTATACTGCATTCATATTATTGCTTTATATTGAAATGAGTTAAGTTGAGTTGAGTTGAGCCCAGGTATGTTCTTTCAGTTCATTCCAAGCTTATGTCTTGTTTAGTATTCCCCTCGCATGCTCGTACATTCAATGTATTGATGTCAGTTGGTCTGCATCTTTTTATGATGCAAATACAGGTAACCAGGATCAGCATCCAGCGCTTCGTTGATCCAGTTGAGTATTCAGAGTCTTGTGGTGAGCCTCCTTGCTTTCCGGAGGATCCCTATTTACATTTCTTTAGTAGTTTTCAGTTGTTAGGATGATCGGGGGTCTTGTCCCGACATCTCTCACAGTTTTAGAGGCTTCATAGATAGTTAGTTAGTTCATTTGTCATTATCTTGTTATTGGCTTATGTTGAATTTGAGTTGCCCTTTTTGGCCAGTTGAATGTTGATCTTTAAAACATTCTAAGTTATTCATTGAGACAGTTTAGTATGATTGTATTTTAATACTTTCTTTTATCATGAGTTAAGTCTTCCACTAAGAGTTAAGCCAGACCAAGGGTTCGCTTGGGGCTAGCAATGGTTCTCGAGTGCCAACCACGTCCGGGGTGTAGGCTCGAGGAGTGACAGTTAGTTTAAATACAATATTTATTTTTATTGTTACTTAAATTCTATTGTATCGTATGGTTTAAATCCATTGTTAGGTAACAACGAAAAGACTCATTTTATGTATCGACATACTTGGTACGAGCACGTCGTAAACTTAAGATTTTCTTTTCATTTTGTCTTTATTTATTATTCAATAATTATATTTCATCATTTACCCTACCTTTTTATAGTAGCTCTACCTCGTACCCTACTTTTCTTGTAGGTTATCATTCAAATTATAGATGTGTGACATTATATAATGACGGAGAATGATACAATCTATCTAAACATTATATTCTTTAAAATAATACAGTATGATATAATATAATGTGATACATTATAAAACAATACGTACTAACCATCCAAACAAAGTGTAAGAGTTACATGTTGCTAAATGGGCTACAAATACCAATACCAACTGTTAACCCAATGGCTACAAAGATAATTCTAAAATCTGTATATATATGTATATCAATTGTCCTTCCTTTTAAAAACGAACTATTTGTAAAGCCCAAACTATTTGAGTTTGACTTGGCACCCTACCAAAAACAATCAAACAAACATATCTGATATTCTAAGTGTTTAGTTGCATTTACCTCTTTTCTTTTTTTAGGTAATTTTATTAATTGTGAGATATATGACTATTATTTGTCCCCAAAAAATACAAATCTCTCTATTTATAAAATTATCTCAAAAAAAAAAAAGTACAAAGGTAATGCAACTAAACACTTACATTGCTTAGTAGTATATTTTTTCAAAACCTACTATATACATTATTTGTGTGCGCATACAATGTTGATATATATATATTATATATACACTGATAGTATATGCACACATATAAGAATTGTGCCTAATGTAAAAAATTAAAATTAGATAAGGGCGTTATAGAAAATCCATCAATTTTCATTGAAAGATACATAACAGCTCTAGTATCTCACTTCCTCCTAAGGGGGGATTAGAAATGATACAAAATTGTGACTCAACTAATTACTCCGTCTTATTTTATGTGATTTTATTTTCAGAATCAAATTATTTCATATGATTCAATATAAAAAAAATTAAAATCAAATTTCTATAATTATAAACTATAAAAACATTTTAAATCATAATAATTAATAAATTAATTATTTTAAAAATTAATTCATCAAATAGTAACTAGATCGCATAAAATAAACGGATCAATTAGTTTTTTTTTCTCGTGGAAAGAAAAAAAAAGACAAAAAGTTGAAAGTTTGCTTTCTAGTTTCTACCAAATGGACGTCACTGAAGTTTCTTGTCATTTTCTTCTCTTTTTTTTTTTACATTTCTTTTTTTGAAGAATTTTCTTACAATGCGTCTTATGTGATTGTTATTTCAAACGTTTTTCTCTTTTTAAAATAATTTTTTTTCTTTTTACTCTTCTATCGTAACAAAATCAAAAGTGAATAAATTATCTTTTTCAATTTTATCCTTAATTTGCACCAAAAAATAACGTATGCCAAGAAAAACAAAAGTCCTTAAAAACATATTTCTTAAGCAATATCATTTTAAGAAACGTACAAAATACAAACTGAATAAGTAATTAAAGAGAGCAAAATCAGGAAATTAATATATTCAACTTGCATTGATATATAAAATCAAGACACAAAGCAAGGAAGCAATTAATGCATCCTTTAATTAGTAAAAAGCAGTAAATAATGTAACAAAAGTAAATAACACATTAATTAGCATGAATTTCATCTGATACATTATATATAAATTCCCCTTTTACATTTTTAACCCTTCTTTGCCTTTGGCTATTAGGGGGCAAATATATATATATCTCTTTGTAGCTTAATTTTTTGTGCATTAATTAATTTTCTCATACGTTAGAAGTTGTTAGTGCAACTACATCTTGCTTATCATTATCATCCTTTTTTTCATCAACACTATCAACTTCTTCTTGCTTATTCTTATTCTTATTCTTATTCTCATCGTCAACATTTTCTTGAATTATCTCCACCACCACCGCTTTCATGTCAATCGCGATTTCTTTCAGATCCATCAGACTAAGGTCCGGTAGAACTTGTTGCTTTCTATTTCTGTAGATTGCGTACAATATCATTTGTGCAATTCCGAATGAAAACCCTAGAATGTTTGGCATCTGTTTATACAATCACAAACCAAAGTTAAATATAAGCATATACTGTCAAATGTATATAAGTTAATCGATCAAATTGGAAATAACAATGTTTTGTAACTTGTAAGACATGACTTACTGCAATGTACATGTCTTTTTTCAATAGACCATAGAAAAACCACATGACAGCGCAGATTGTAAGGAAAAAAGAAAGAGGGAATGGCATGAACTCAACGCTCTTTGTTTGAATAACGCGTCTCTGCAAAAAAAAAAAATGTTTGTATCATGACACGAAATATAAAAATTATTGAAATGATATTCGATTTGATTTGATTTTTTGATTATGATACGTACCATAATGCTTAAAGGAGCAGCGAAAACGCTAACAGAAAAGACGGCACAAATCCATCCAACGATACTGATTCGTAACTCATTTTCTTTAGCAAATATATATGTCAACCCAACAATTGCGCCAAATGCCACTATGTTAAACCCAATCAACAGGTTCGTAGCGAAAATCTACAAAATCAAAAAAAATTTAAATACTTAAGACATTTCGTTCTGAATTCATAATTTCAAAATATTATGAATTTCGCGATAAGAATATATACCTTAGCCGATTTAGTGGCGTATATCATGAAGATAGTGAGATATATCAATTGTATACCAGTTCCAAAGCTGTTAATTGTTATGAGCAAAATCTCATTTTTTTTTAGATAAGCATAGTATAAATAAAGCATCGCGCTGAAAAGCGAAACCGAATAAGGTATCGATTGAAATCCTTCGGTTGATTTTCTTTTAAATATCCTATAGAAAGTCGGCCTGTAAAATAAGAATATTTGCAAATAAGAACATTATTCCGTGTATTATAAGAAGAAAAATGATAATGATAATGATGATAATTCTTACAGTGGGGACAAGTACACCAAGAACGACACCCCATTTCCTGTGGAAAAAATACATGATAGTTAATTATAATTGAGAAAAAATAGAGGAAAATGAAAGATAGAAAGAAATGAATTATTAAGTACCAAGAATGCCAAAAGCAAAGGCCAATTGAATAGTAGTAAAGAGAGGCATTCTTGAGTGTACTTGTTGTAATTATTGAAAAATGATACAAAGAGAGAAAAATAACTCAAAGTATGAGAGGGGAATAACATAAATTGTTTTGCCAATGTTTATATAGGAATAATAAAGTGAGTTATTGCTGAAAAAGATTGCTTGTTACTTGAAAATACTCCACAATACCTTTGGCTTTGAGCTGTCCTAAAAATCATGTTTATAATCGACTTGGTTTTAAATGTGAACAATATAATACTTCTAATTCTTTTTGTCTCAAAATATTTGTGTTTTTCATTTACACGACTCTTAGTAAGATATATACTTCTTTATATCAAAATAAGTGATGTTTGGCCTTTTTATTTTATTTCAAAATGAGTGGTGTTTTAGCATTTGAAGAAGAAATGATCTTATACTGTTAAAATTGTCCTTGTTTACCTAACCAAGAATCATTAATTAGTTTTTCTTTGATTAGAATCAAGTTAGTAAAAACATTCATTATTTTTCAGGAATGAGTAGTTTCTTAAGAGGTGATCTAAAATCACCACTTATTTTGGAACAGATGGTGTAATATAATTAGGAGGGATCGACATTTAATATCTTCATTGAACGAATTCTCTTTTTATGTGCTATAATTGAGATATTTATAGTTTTCAAGCACAATTACTATTAAGGACAGGTCTCGTCGCGACAAAGCTTTCAAATTGGCGGCGCCGGTCACCTACAAGTGCAGAACTGAACGCTTAACGCGATTGACGTAGATAATCAAGTAAAATGAAAAAAATAATTACGTAATTTTATTTTAAAATTCTAAATAAATATTATTAATAAAGACGACAAGTATTTTGCAACGAAGAAGTATAATTCAATATATTCCCATAGGGCTAAATAAAGGTAGGTAGTTAATTTTCTTGAATATCACAATTTTTGTTGAATGCTAATGTTGTACGATATATCTTTTCTCACCAATCTATATAGTTTGTTATTTAGGTGTTGGATAGCTAGTATAAATTACACCATTTATGTGGTCCGTTGAAACGGGAATTGTTTGGATAATATTTGGTTGAAATTGGAAAAAAACAATTTGAACTAGAATTTAAAAAAAGAGTATTATAAAACAAAAAATATACATTTAATGCCAATTTTCTTTACTTGTTGTTCATCTTAATTAAAGAAACTTTGAATCTGTAATATTATTAATTTAGATTAATTAAGAGAAGTACTTTCATGAAAATTCGGGATATATAGTTTAAATTCTTGATTCTTTAATTAACATATTCTTAACACGGAAAATACTGATTTATTTTATATAACCAATTATATTTTGTTCTGTCAAAAAGCTGAATTATGTTGATCAACTATATATAGAAAGATACGAGAGACAGAAGCGAAGCTAAGATTTTAAATTTACGGTTTAAGATTCTAATTTTTAAAAATTATTTAGTTCTAAATTAATAATTATACATAAAAAAACAACTATATCATATCGAGTGTAATTCTATAAGTGAGATCTGAAAAGAATAAAATATACGTAAATCTTATCTCTACCTTTATGAGATAAAAAAACATATATTTTTATTAGACCCTTATTAGAACATATTTCGTGATTACATATACAAAATGTAGAAAAAATTAAATTATTGAATTCGATCAAATTCATACGTTATATACGTTATATATTAGCTCCGCGTTGAGGAGGGACTAATATGGTTTAAAGCATGTAAAGCGAGGACATGATTTTATAATCACGCAGATAACATGCATGTTTAAGATTATAAATATTATAATATATAAGACGTTTTAATTTTCTCTAAAATTATGTATATGTTGAATCAAGCATTCACATGAAATAAAATGAAATGGATACATTTTGAATTTTACGACCTCACATACATTCAGACGAAGCTAGGATTTCAATTTTATGAATTCTGAATTTTATAATGATGACTTTAAAGTGACAATAACTACGTTTGAAATTTATTAGTTATACATATTTAATAAATTTACACAAATACACTATTTGAACAAATGTATTATACTCTATTGAATTCATATGCAGTCTACTAGCTCCACCGCTGCTCTCATCATAAGATTTCTAGACTCTTCATCAACAAATATAAGAGAGAAGTACTAAAAACATTCCTAAACTCAACGTGAATTATTAGTTTCATCCTTAAACTATTGACAGACTTAAAAACACCCCTTTACTTAACTAACTAAACTTAATAACACCATCAATCTTGCAACATGAGTGAAAATACACCCCTAAATTCTTTTCAAGTTTAGGAGCATTTTCAACACTTCTCGACATTTTACTAAGAGCATCATCCTTCTACAAGAATTTAAGACCACTTGCAATGTCATGTGGCAGATCGAAGGTATATCTAAGTTTAGTTAATCAAATAAAAAATTATTTTTAAAACTGACAATTGTTCAAAAACAAAACTAATAATATCTGTCAAATTCAAGAATATTTTCAGTAGTAAATATAATGTACTCCTAATAGATGATTCAATTTGAAGTTTTTGAACACATTATAAACCAACTTTATTAATGTCTATAAATATGTTTTTTTATAACTCCAAACTTATATTTTTTTGTCGAGAAGCCTCTAAAAAAGCAAAACAGAAACAAAAGAAAACAAAATAGTGTTGAGACAAAGTACGTACGTAAGATGAGATCAGTTACGTGAAGGAAATCAAAAGAGAGAAGGAACGGCGAGGGTTATGCAAACATAACATAAGGTGTTGTAGTTTGCACGTGACTTTTTTGTTCTTCCGTTACGTTTTTTTTAAATAATATATGTATAAAGTCGTTTTCATTTGTTGTAGCAAGTAATATATTTCATTTTCAAAATATCGAATCTATTAGCTTTTTTAAAAATCTTTTAGTATACTATAGGTGGCACCACGTTGGATTTCCTTTTCTTCTTCCTTTAGACGAGCTTTTCTCCATACAATGTACCTACTTTTATTTCTCTCGAATATATGACTATAAATAATATTTTTCTATGTGTTTTAGTTTGATTTGACTCATATTTTAAAATATTAAGAAAATTGAAAATTGAAAATGATAATATATCACATAATTTTAAAAAAGTCATATTATTTTTACAACAGCTTCCTAATTAATTTGATTGGGGAGAATATCATTATAGTAATATTCTAATATGATAAAGTCTGTTAGTAGAGATATTCCACTTGTGACACAATATAATATAAATTATAAAAAATTGAGTACCTAATGAATTAATATTGGAAGTTGGAACTAGTAAATATGTGTGAGGTCCAAATCTTAACAAATTGGTTTTTTTCTGTTTTTTTCCACAATTTTGTTCTCATTTAAATACTATATATTATACCAAATTTGTCTTTTTTCCCCAAGTGAAATGTATAATAAATAAGTTCAGGTACTACCAGTTTCGATTCCCAAGGTGTTATTTAGGATACAAATGATATAATGATATACTTCGAAAATACTTATTCATACGCGATATTTATTGTACGTCTTATCATACCATCCAAGATAAAGTGTCACAAACTAAATTAATATTGATATAATATTATTCTTCCATTCAATTCAAAATAATGGTTAACTAATATGTATTCATTAATTTAACTTTTATTAAATCATTTAATCATAATTAATTTATATGATTTGATGTAATGTCTGATACATATAAATAGATCCATTAAATAGTTACTGGTTCATTTGAACTCGATACTGTTTGGCTTAGATCATATATGTGTCAAAAATCCACAAAATCACTACAATTAAAAGATTTTAAGCTCCATAAACTAGATGAGAGGTAATAGAATTTCAAATATATATATATATATATATATATATATATAT